TGAAGTGAATCACAATTACAAAATTTGATTTGAAGAAAAAAAAAAAAAAAAAAAAGTGAAAAATCGGACAAAAAGGTACAAGATTGTGTAATTAACGACTTTAACGAGACAAAGAACTACAGTCCCATGAAGCACTGCGAATGACAAATCAAATTAAAAGATGGAGAAAGATAAAACTATTCATTTAAAGGCATTGTTTAAATATAGAAACAGTATATTTAAAATGTATTTTAAGTTTTATACCTATATATACACAAATATTTAAGTCGTTTGAGAGCAGAGGGAGACGTGATTACATCATTCTCTGTGCTTCATGGGAGTGGGCGGATGCTAAAGAGCCCATGATTCTCTGATTGTCAGAGATTTCTTTGCAGGATCATGGGTAATGTATTTTTTACCAGGAATTTTGCTGTTAAACATGAATATTTAAAAAAAATGATTGAAATAATTAAATAATGCAGACTGATGACTTAAAGCATATACCATTGATTAATTACCTCATTGCGCACAGTAAGTCTGTCTTTAAAGGTTTAGAATTTATTATTAAAAATCAAATTCCCCTATAGAGAAAATGAATGGGATTTTTACTTCCAGCAATACACTGGTAATACTTACAGGCACAACAAGAGAAGTCACCCCACTGGCTAGACCAGTGAGCACTCTGCCCACATACAACATCCAGTGGCTCTGAGCAGCGATAATGACGGTAAACCCACAGATGAATGGTACTGCACAGAACATAAGGCTCAATTTTCGTCCAATCCTCTCGACAGCCCATCCCCCAAGGAGACCCCCAAGAGCTGCACCTATGGTCACCACGGACTACAAGACAGAAAAACATCATTTTGTAACATTTGAACACTGACATCAGCATTTTTTTAAATCTTTTTTTGTTATACACTGACAACTAAATTTGGATTTTGGTATTTAAACATTCTCCAACTCAGACACTATAATGGCATTGTAAGTTCTGGGGAACTGAAAATGAAATAATAAAAAAATATAATAATAAAAAAAAAA